TCGGTAACGTTTTTTTACAAACCTCATTTTTCTGCTTCTTAAACGATGTATCAGATGAGTGTTCAGCCTCTGTATGACATCTCTTCCGTGCATCTGATGGACGATGTTCGGTGACTAAGCCCGGCCCCGGCATGACATTTTCAACAAATTCCTGTGACGAAGCTAAATCCAACTCCATCGGCCTTTAAAAAGTTGTGAAACGGCGATCAAACTGGAGGAACGTTTGCAGATACTAACGTTTATCTTACTGTCGATGTTGATCGCTCGATTTCTTCTTTGTATAAGGTAATTTGACAAAAAAAATTCACAGCTTCTTCACAGCTTCAAAAGCATGTCCGCCACTCACCAAGGGCGTATAACTCTGGAGGTACCAATCCTCGTGCCTAGGGCTAGTTTTAGGGCTTTATATTGTATAGAGTTTAATTTTTGGAGGTTGCAGGAGGAGAGGGAGTGGAGGACCGGGCGGCGTAGTCCAACGTAGGCAGTATAAGCGTTTTATATATGTTGATAAGTGTGTGTTTGTCGGCACCCCAGTTTGTGCCGCTGATGGCTCTCATTAAGTTGAGATCTTTTTGACAAGAGCTGACCAAGTTATGAATGTGGGGTGTCCATGTCATATGTTGGTCAAAAGTTACTCCTAAGAATTTGGCTTCCTTTTTTAATTCAATTTTTGGATTATTTAAGTGCAGTTTGGGTGTGTAATTTTGCATTCGTTGAGTTTTGAAAAGTATGCCCACGGTTTTTTTAACATTTATGAGGAACCCCCATTGTTGGGCCCAATTTTGAATGTGGTTAAGCATTCTTTGACATTTAATAGAGACATGTTTAATAGAGGTGGAAGAGGTCCAGAAGGAGATATCGTCTGCGAATTTAGCTTTGGAAATTTCCGGCCATTTTTCTGGGAATATATCATTAATCATGAATTTAAAAAGTGTTGGAGATAATATGCTGCCCTGGGGGGTCCCATTTTCTAGGGGATGGGGGTCCGAAATGGTGTGAGATTTGAGGGTTATGAATCTATTGTTTAGGAAGGAGTGAATGAAATTTAGAATTCTGCCATGTATGGCATTTTTTGGCGCTTTTGTAGTAGGCCGTTGTGCCAAACCATGTCAAATGCCTTACTAAAGTCAATGAAAATGGCCATAGTGTATTGTTTTTGTGCATGGGCTACTTTGATATCTTGTTCTTAATGTAAAATGTGGTCCAAGGTTTGCCGATTATGAGTAAAGCCACTCTGGTCCTCCTTTATTAGTTTTTTTTAATTAATAAGATGTTTGAGCCTGTTGTTAATGATACTTTCTAGGGTTTTACATAAATGGGAAGTGAGAGAAATGGGGCGATAAGAGTAAGGCTCATTGCTGGGTTTACCCTGGTTTGAGGATTGGTACCACCTTGGCTGTTTTCCATGTGTTTGGTATAGTACCTGAGGTCCAGATATGATTAAAGAGAGTAAGTGTGAGTTTGTTGAGTATAGTGTATGTAATGGTATCTGGACCCGGGGCTGAGGCTGTCTGTTTCTGAGTGCAGATTTGAGTTCGTGTATGTTTATGATTTTATTTATTGGTAGGTCTGTATGGGGTGGTTGTGGGGTGTATTTGGGGTGTATTTTTATGGTGTTTGGGAAGGAGGGTGGGTAATTGGCGGAACTGCTTACGGCCGAGAGGTGGGCGACTTGACAGTCAAACTGCACCTGCTTATATATCGGAGGAACGCATAGCAATTGTAAATTATTGTCACCATTATCCCTTTGTTATTTCATGGGTTGTTCCTGGTTGATACAATAGTCTCATAAATTGCCTAACGTATATCGGTCTATGACCGGACGGTGGTAATAAAAACACAAGGCTGCCGTTTCATTTAGCCAGAAGCATTTCAGATTGACCGCCGACTTGCTTGTGGGATTATCATTACGTGGTCAGCGTGTCAATCAGGAAGTGACATGCAACCGGTAACTGCAGTGCAAACCGTTATCCATTGTCTACAGTATGTGCATGTCTGGCGGCATGTATTTTACAACCTGAGTGAGTTACTCTCGTTTGTGTACGGAAAATCACAACATAGAAATTTCATATCATAGTTATTATATATTTGTGTGTGAAATATTAGTGAAATATTTGCACTATTACAATACCCCTCTGTCGCGAGAAGCTTTTGTCCTCAAAAGCAAAAATGAGAATATTGTTTACAAAAATTATGTACATAACATAATACACTTCTATATGGAACCAAATTGATAAGGTTCGTACATAATGATACAAGCTGTAACACAATACACGGTAAGAAATATGTTGTAATGATAATCTAGTTGTCCATAGGGAGGACTTCATATAGGCCATGGTGAGAGATGAGGATGTTTGTGGCAAAAGGCTGAGAGAGTATGACGTTTATACGTCTTGCCATAAATGGTGAGATTTTTACTGAAAGGGGAATTTTTAATGATTGCTGGGTAAGCTTGCTACACTACCACTACCACATTAATTTTACCATCCAAGAGAGAGTCAGTCAAACTTTGAAAGATAACCTCATTCTCTTTAACACTCTAAGCCATACGCTTAAGACTAAGGTGATCCTTATGATCATTAGCAATAACTTTCGAAAACTGATTCGTGTAAAGATGAAAGTCAGGAATCGTGACTTGAACTGGTTCATTATATAAGGTATACCAGTAATAGTATCTAAAGTTGATTCCTCGAGAAAGTGCTGTAGTAATGCTAAGTTTACGGGATGTAGGTAGGTGATATCCTCGTGAGTAAGGTTTTGACAAGTTCCTAGATGAGCAGGAAAGACGAGATTCTGTGTTGAGACAGAACATAAGCATGGCAGTGCGATCATGCAAAAGGAACAACCTGTGATGATTCGTTGACCATCAGGGCAAGTGAGGGTTAGTAATGGAGAGTTATAGACAAGTAATTTGGAGGGGGTTATTTCAATTAGTTGTTGCTTTTGTTCCTGCTGAAGGAACCTGAAATTACACTGTGCTTTGACTTCCGCTTTGCTTGTAGCATATTTTATTGCCTCATGATTGATTTTTATGCCTTTAAGAGCATTTGAAAATCGAGTATCTTCATTTGCCATTATCGAGGTCAAATTGTGTTCATGCTCTGTTAATACATTGCCTAACAGTGATTCGTGCTTGGTTAGTGCATTGATGTGTTTGGCTAAGGTGTTGACATCCTTAGATGTTGCAGTGCCAAACAAAGATTTTGAAAGTTGGCCAATAAAGCCTAATAAAAATCACAACATAGGTACTTTTGTGAATTCATATAAATTTCATATCATAGTTATTATATTTTTGTGTTTGAAATATTAGTGAAATATTTGCACTATAACAGAACGATGATTCTTTATGTTAGAATGATATATATACATGTTATAAACAGTATTGTCCGGCACATTACATACCCAATGTATCGCACAGGGGCCCGTGTTTATGCCTGGGCTGCCATAGCAGACGATGAAATAATGTGTACTGGAAATAAGATAGGTTGTGATCAAAACCAAACCGATTCAGCGTAAACTGTCCATATAGACATAATGATAAGCATGGAAAGATATATTTGATACTCTATAAAACCTTCAATTGAGATACTTTGCCATTATTTGTTGTTGTGAAAGCCAGGTGATAGGGAAAGGCGCTTACCTTGCTTCGTAAGCGATGATGAGTGGGGAGATCAACTTTATAGGGTTCTGCGAAGTATTCGTGTCCGTAGTCGTCAGTGTCTCGTCTTGATCTCCTGATTGTCATCTGTCAGATTTGGCGGGTAAGTTGATCACGTGCGACGATCACACTCGGAAACATACGAGCAGCATCGGATGGCCAATCCAATGTTACCCGATGTACTAGTGCTGTAGCACCGATCACTACATTGTGTTTAGAGACAGCCCCGAGAGCGGAAGGTCGCGGGCTCGATCCCCGACCGCGTCATACCAAAATACGTTAAAATATGGTACTTGTTGGTCCCTGCCTGGCGCTCGGCATTAATGGGTACAACAAGGACTGGTCGGCTCGGAGTCAGTATAATATGTCGCACATACACATACACACGCATGCACGTCGTCATATGAGCGAAGTATTCTCAAGGACGAAGTTAAACGCAATTTCACCTCACCTCACCTCACCTCACTCACAATGCCTCGCTTTATAGTTATTTAATGTTATTTACGTTTAAAAGGGAAGATAGGATACACATTAAAATAGAAACTTTGCGTCTATCCGCGTGTCGTTTACAACACACGCTAACTACCCTGACGGCATTAATTACCCGTATTTAATATGTTGTGTGTGTAAGATTACACATTGAAGATAGTTAGTTTACTAACCTGTCACACACGTTTTGTCAGTCGTGTCTGGTGACGATATGACGTGAGAGGGTGCGAGGTGTTCAGACATAGAAAAGGCATGCAGGTTTGAATGGACCAATCGTAACGTATTGTCATTGTTGAGTAGAAGCTATTGATTGTATTATTAAAACTAAGCGATTAAGTATATGAACTGTTTCAGCGCTGATATCAGCTGAAATCAAGAAACTTATCAAAAGTACATGAATTATTCACTATTTCATTTCAGCTACTATAGTGAGCAGAAACAAAGCAATATATTACAATATATTTTTACATTGCATATGTAAGCGCCTGTTGAAATAAAGATAGAGAATTAACGATTATTTACAATACTTAAAAGGTAACTGGCGCAAAGTGATCATAATACTCAGATATACAAAGTAGGTCGCTGCCACAAACACGAGGCTGGAAAACTGAGTGCTGCGTTGACCATCAAGTAGGCATGTACACTGTTGCCGAGGGGCTATCAAAATGTTTTGAGACTGAAGTACTTCTGTTATGTGCATGATAAAAATAACTGTATGATATTGAAGAAAGGTTTTATATCATTCACATAAACGTAATGTTGACATGCACATGTCCCTACTTTACGTGACATCACATGTACCCCTATCGAAACTGCAGAAATGGATAAGCTTGTGTACAGAGAATTCATAAAGTTTTTGGTCCTCTAGGGCCACACGGCGAAGCACATTGAGAGCGATTGACAGTACCCGTTGGAGATTAGTGTGCGCCATGCTGGCTGCACCTCTGAGAGCTCTGCTTTTCACTTGCTATTTCTCAATAACACTTGTGACTAGAGGCGTGAAAATTGTCTTGAGTGTGTATCGAGTACCAGAGAACACAACCGTGAAATCATTTGGACTCTATTCCTTTTTGTTGTGGAGATATTTGAGGATATAATTTGCTGATATTTGTGATATATGGAATTCAAGCAGGGTGCCCAAGCTTGTTGGCAATCAAGAGAACAATAGACTGGCCACCTGAGTCCGTTCAGTGGACCATGCAGATTTATGTAATCAGCTTGTCATGCACTGTGTTGTTAACAATGCTGGTATATACATCAGAGGAGTTACATAATGTGGAAAAAAGAACTCACCACAAGTTACCCTTACCAACTCTCAGCTTAATAAGGTCACTGGATATTTGTAGTGTGAAGAAGACACGAAGAGGATGTCGTGGTGGATTGAAGTCAAATTCAATCTTGAACAAGAACACTATGACATACAAAACTTATGAATCCAGAATTGGTGTTTTGAATGCTAGATCAGTCAAAACTCAATCAGTCACTGTTGATAAACCAGAGACTATACAATCTCTTGTTTTAGACAACAGGTTGGATGTACTGGCCATCACAGAGACATGGTTACGGGAGGGTGACATTGACAGTTTGGTTATCAATAAACTCGCTGCACCCGGTTTTAAGTTCATCCATAAGGCGAGGACTGGCAAGCATGGAGGAGGTGTCGGTATTTTATACAGAGACTCCTACCATTGCACTCAACTTAAAATTGGGAATAGCTTCTCATCTTTTGAACATATTTCTATCAAACTGAAATCTGGCGATGAACATCTGGTACTGTCATGTGTGTACAGGCCCCCTGGCAGAATGTTGTTGGCGGAAACAGGTTTTCTCAATGAATTTTCTTCATTAATAGATGATTTGATATTGATAAAAGGTAAACTGCTACTATGTGGTGACTTTAACATTCACGCTGAAAACATAGACCTTCCTGAAACAGTTAAGTTTCTGGGTCTTCTGACCTCGTATGGTCTTCTCCAGCATATTCAGGAACCAACCCATGTGAAGAACCATACACTGGATCTTGTGATCACCAGGAAGGATGACTTAAATGTCAAGAACATTCACATGGATCAGTCTGTCATGTCAGACCACTTTGCTGTGCTAGCTACAACCAGCTTCAAAGTGCCTCGGAGGCAGAGGAATGTAATAACATTTCGGAAATGGAAGAACATTGACATGGTGCAGTTCAAAACCGAGCTGAAAGATTCTCTGGTTCAAGACACTGGTACTGGAGTACAGGAAATGGCTGAGAATTATGACACCACTGTCAGAGAAGTTGTAGACCATCACGCTCCTCTAAAGACAAGAACTGTAACTGTTCATTTGAGAGAGGCATGGTACAACGATGAAATCCGTGCAGCAAAAAGAGAACGGCGTAAACTGGAAAGAATTATGCGACACAGTGGGCTCACTGTACATAAAGAGATGCACTCCCAAGCACGGAATAGGGTAAATGCATTGGTTGAGCAGGCGAAGAGGACATATTTCACTGACATCGTGGAAGCTGCAAAAGACCAGAAGGAAATATTCAAGATCTCTAACAGACTACTGTTCAAGACAAAGTCTCAAGCCTTACAAGACAGTCTTCCTGAAGACGTTATTGCTGAAACATTCTCATCATTCTTCACAGAAAAGATTGAGAAAATTCGATCATACCTCACAAGTTTGCAGACGATCATACAAACCTCACCCACAGCTCATGCCGACATGAATATGACGGATATTCCAGAGCTGTCTTGTTTCCTACCAGCATCTGATATGGAGGTGAGACAGGTGATTGTGAGGAGTCCTACAAAGTCTTGTTCACTAGACCCCATGCCGACTTGGTTGTTGAAGGAGTGTCTGGATGAGACAGTACCAACACTAACCAGTGTGATCAATGCTTCCTTCAGTCAAGCTTGTGTTCCTAGAACCTTCAAGTTAGCATCTATAACACCACTGATCAAGAATCTTCGGCTGGATTCAAACAACCTAAAAAATTACAGACCAGTCTCCAACTTGCCCTTTGCTGCTAAGATCATGGAGAGAGTGGCAGCGTCAAGGCTTCATGATCATATCATCCGAACTGGGAAAGAAGAAACATTGCAGTCTGCATACCGATGTCATCATAGCACGGAAACGGCTCTTGTGCGTGTGCAGAGTGAATTGCTGCAGGCAATTGATTCAGATGGTGCGGCAGTGTTGGTGTTGCTCGATTTGTCAGCCGCTTTTGACACAATTGATCAGTCCATTCTTCTCAAGAGATTGAATGAGAGATTCGGTGTTACTGGTGAAGCTTATTTCTGGCTGGAGTCCTATCTGTCAGGACGATTTCAGGCTGTGAGAGTCAATGGGCAAATGTCAGAGAAAGTTAGCCTCAAGTATGGAGTTCCACAGGGTTCTGTACTGGGACCAGTGTTGTTCACAATCTATACATCACCTCTTGGGGACATTGCTCGCGCCAATAATCTCTCGTTCCATCTCTACGCTGATGACACCCAGCTGTATCTGGCCTTCAAGCCCTCCAACAGAACATCAGTAGTGGATTCATATCGTCGTTTGATGAACTGTATCAAGGACATCAAGGACTGGATGACCCTAAACTTTCTCAAGCTCAACAGTGAGAAGACGGAACTGCTGATTCTCTCTTCAAAGTCAACGAGAAGTAAACTTGCTCTGCCCATCTTTGAAATTGGAGGCTGCATCATTGAACCAAGCAAAGAAGCACGAAATCTGGGATTTGTATTTGACTCATCTATGAATGCAGAGTCCCATGTAAACAAAGTATGCAGACATGCATATTTTAATATTCGAAACATTGCCCAAATACGTCGATTTGTAAATCTTAAGACCGTAACATCTCTTGTTCAGTGCTGTGTTGTGTCCCATTTAGATTACTGCAATGCTCTTCTAATTGGACTACCAAAGCAATTGATTGCAAAGCTGCAGCGCGTTCAGAATTGTGCAGCTAGACTCGTGACAAAGACACAGAAAGACAGCCACATTTCTCCAGTGCTAAAGAAACTTCATTGGTTGAAGGTGGCAGACAGAATCACTTATAAAGTGCTCCTGTTAACCTTCAAAGCAAGGACAGGCCTAGCCCCTGTGTATCTCCAGGAACTCCTCCAGGAATACAAGCCAGCAAGGTCTCTTAGATCCATTGGACAAAGCATGCTGTGTGTTCCACACGCAAGAACCACCACCTATGGAGATCGATCATTCGCCAGAGCAGCTCCACGACTCTGGAATGATCTGCCAATAAAACTGAGACTTATAAATAACTTGGCAACCTTTAAAACCAATCTCAAGACTCACCTATTCTCAAAGACATACGCCTAGACCGAGTGGACCTTGCTTATACATGTGACATGCATCCTCTCAAATCTCTCATCTCTCTCTTTTGAGCAGTTATACTGACTGGATTCTTGCGCTATATAAGTTCTTAGTTGATGATGATGATGATACCCCATGGGACTCAGTACTCGTACTGCTACTCGAACATCGCTCTTCAATGTGCCCCTCGTATGTCTGTTTACAACACACGGGAAGTTCGGGAACAGCTCAAGTGGTGATACACTATTTAGGCGTTCGCTCTAATTGCTCTATAAATATACCTCATCTCGACTGATCTCCCTTCCACCACAATAATGTCAAGTCAATTCAGTAACAGGTGTTGATCGCGTTGAACAGAAGGCAGCTCAGACGTATGTCATTTGATCGTACACACAACTCTCCCATGTGGAGATATCCCAGAAATATCTATAGTCTACCTCCTCTACATCTGTAGTCTACCGCCTCTACATCTGTAGTCTACCTGCTCTACATCTTTAGTCTACCTCCTCTACATTTGTAGTCTACCTGCTCTACATCTGTAGTCTACCTACTCTACATCTGTAGTCTACCTGCTCTACCTCTGTAGTCTACCTGCTCTACACCTGTAGTCTACCTGCTCTACATCTGTAGTCTACCTGCTCTACATCTGTTGTCTACCTGCTCTACATCTGTAGTCTACCTGCTCTACACCTGTAGTCTGCATGCTCTACATTTGTAGTCTACCTGCTCTACATCTGTTGTCTACCTGCTCTACATCTGTTGTCTACCTGCTCTACGTCTGTAGTCTACCTGCTCTACATCTGTTGTCTACCTGCTCTACATCTGTAGTCTACTTGCTCTACATCTGTAGTCTACCTGCTCTACATCTGTAGTCTGCATGCTCTACATTTGTAGTCTATCTGCTCTACATCTCTGGTCTACCTGCTCTACATCTGTAGTCTACCTCCTCTACATCTGTGATCTACCTGCTCTACATCTGTTGTCTACCTCCTCTACATCTGTGATCTACCTGCTCTACATCTGTAGTCTACCTGCTCTACATCTGTAGTCGACCTGCTCTACGTCTGTAGGCTACCTACTCTACATCTGTAGTCTACCTCCTCTACATCTGTAGTCTACCTGCTCTACATCTGTAGTCTACCTCCTCTACATCTGTAGTCTTCCTGCTCTACAGATAGATATTCTTTATTTCCTCCAACTGAATGAAGATTACAATGTGTGGTAATAATATATTTTACATCAAATGATTAAGATAGATTATTGATAGAGTCACAAATGTTCATAAACATACAAGTGTTTTAGCAAGTATCGCCATTTCCTTATACAATGGCTTACATTAATTATTACTTTTGCCCATTCATCTCTTTCTAGTTCCATTATGCACGCAATTGGACATCCACCAAGTAAAAATGCAAGAATAACATCATCATCTTGATCCCAGATCTTAACAAAAGTTTCTACATGCAGTATATCACATATGGAGTTAAAAAGTTCATTTCTGTCATTCATATTTATCGTACATGACATAAACACGTGCTTTACAATATCATTGGCGACAGTTTTACATAAACATTCTCTTG